TTTTTTTTTTTTTTTTTTTTTTTTTTTTTCTCTTAATCACTTTCTATGGTGTAGTAAATAAGAGATAATCATGCACAAGATTAGTGTTGATCAATTATTTAGTTATTATATTTATTTAATATGCATTTCTCTTTTCCAATTTATATTAATATTTCATGTTATTCTAAATTAATTAATTAATATAACTTACATCCTCCTTCCTCAATTTAAATTTGATATTTAAGGTACAATTATATTATTTCGCTTTATCTATTTTCATCAGGCAATAATTTGTTCAATGTCAACTTTAATGTTGATTTTCTTTTCTTATTAATGTCGACTTTAATGTCATTTTCTTTTCTTATTAGATTTACGGTAAAATATATTCTCTACTTAAATAATGCTATCCTCTGTAATGAGTTTAAAAGTTAATAAAATAGATTTCTTTTATATTTGTACTTATCATATTACTCTTCTAACCCTAACCTACATACCTCCAAAGTGACTCTTAACATCATACCTTCAACGAAATAGACAATTATCATAATGAAATTAGTAATTAAACCCTTCAATTAAATATACCATATTAATTATGAAATTTAAAAGTAACGTGCATTCTGATGACCATTATTCAATTCTACATTCCAATTATCATAATTGAATAACCAAATAACTTTTATCAATATGATCATTTTAAAATTACACATTAATGAACGTGAATGTTTGGTTTGCTCAAAATGAAATGCAAAGTAAAAGGTTTGTAGAGTAGTCTGATTACGATGTATTTGAAATACTTTAAAGTTGTTCAGTTCAGTGTAAAATAAACGTAAAATTTATTTTTTTTTGTTTGGTTAGAAGTAAATTGAAAATAATTTATTTCAAAATGTATTTTTTGTCTTGAGGCAACCAGCAGTTGCAGGCGGCCGACGAAAAGTTGGGCATTCAGTCAAAGGCAGCGAACAGTCGACTGAGGCGGAATGTCGGCGGTGGAAGGAGAGTAGCGACAACGGCGGGCAGCAGCAGTGGCTACGGTGGCAAGCATCAGACAGCGGGCAGCAAGCGGCGACAGCTGAAGGCTGCAAGCAATGGCGGATGAAAGCGAAGGCGGCGACGGTGGTAGCGGCGGCTGAAGTCTGCGGCAGTAGGGGGCGGGTGGCGACAGCAGTTTGCGAATAGCATTTTACAGTATAACTCAAATTAAGCAAAATTGGTCAAATTCTAAATTCAGCCAAAATGAACTAAGGTATGAAATTCAAATTCATTCATTTTTTACATTGCATTTCTAATTCTCCATACTAAAAACACAATTTCCTAAAATCCCTATAAAAGAATTAGGGCACACTGCAAAACCTTTCAATCAAACAGCCCCTGCACCAAAATATTATTACTTGAGAAATTAACCTACATCAATAATCTCATTATTACATCAAAAATTAACTCTGCTTTCTTTTTCTTTGAAACCTACACAATTAACTTCGTATAATTCTTCTAAGAAAAATGAACTTATCAATATATTATCAAAATTTAACACCTCTATAGCAACATAATATCCCTGAAAAAAAAAATTGAAACTTTAAGATAATAAAATTTAAAAGTAATTTGATATGCAAGTACACCTTAAGGGTTCCTTCTTTTACCTCTTTCCTCTCTAAAATGTTCACTATCTCCGATTTAGTCCTCCTCACAGAAGCCCTAACAGATATTTGCATTCAAACTCAAATCGAAGTTAGGGTTTTCACTTTCAGTATGAAAATTTCAGCGAAATTTCAGCCAAAATGTTTTGGTGCCAAAAATCATACCTAAAATTAGCCTGGTTCCTCAGTGTCGAGCCCGTTGCCGATCACGCACGAGAGCTGTTGGGCACGCGGATTCTCCACTCGCCCGCTCACTCTTATCGTCTTACGCACGAGCGCTCATTTTCCGTCGGACGTCGTAGATTATAATTTTGAATTATTTTTCCGTTATTTTTAATATTTTAAAATAATTCAGAAATAATTCACGATCTTTATTTTTAAATTATTTTAATATTATTAAAAATAACTTAGAAATAAT